GAAATCAGTCGCATTTTCTTAGACTTTTAACTGCTCGTAGATCGCGATTTCATAAATTTTAATCGTGCCGTCTCATCTGTTTTTAGAAAATTAGAGTATCTTATACTTTTTTTTTCTTCCTCCTTCTTTCTTTCTCTATATCTTGCCCAACGCGCTATCTAGCATTCCTCTCCATAATGTCAAACCCAATATTTTCCTTTTATTAGTCTAGCTTTCTGGCTGCTTTCTTTGGAGCATGCCGAATGGAACATTGATAACAAGAATAAAAGCGGTCGATGCAAATTGTTCTGTGAAAATTTTTCACGTAGAAGTTTCTCCATTCACAATGTTACTTGATGCATAATTTTGTATGTAATATTACTAAACACATTAGTAAACACATTTACTTCTAAATAAAATAGAATACAAGTCAATTTGTCAAAAAAAACTTGGAAAAACGCGAAAATTGTATTTAAATACATGTATTTTTTAAATACAATGAAATACAATTTCACGTTGTTATTTAACAAACGTTAAAAGTTTCTCAGATTTAATTCATCATATTTTTTATATTCCGGCTTTGTTACTTATCGCAACGATGATACGTATTTTTCAATGAAACATTTGGAAAATGCACAAGCGTCAAATCAAAGTTTACTATTCTCGCGGATGAACACGGACACGATACTGCAAAGGAAAAACCTGACAAATGTTCTTTCTCTGGCGCGATAGATTCGATTTTCCTGCTCTACCTTTAATAGTGTACGTCCTCCTGAATCAAGAACGGGTGCGGCAGGAGAATCTCGAGAGTAGGGCGAGAAGGAGGAAGAGAGAGAGGGACAGTTTATCGCGTGTGCACCTTGAGGAGAGGAAACAATGGTTTTCTTGACTCATCGCGATCTGCTTCGATATAAAGGAATAAAGGGACCATTTAAAGCCAGACATATAAGGAATGTTTTCCGGTGAATAAATCCGCGCGCGGCGCCGCACAATAAAATGCATTTATCCTTGCCTCGAGATAAATTTGCGGAAATTGGATTTGAACGCCGCGCACGATTTCCATCCGCTTCGGGAAACGCGTTTAATTTTCCAGCTTTTTTTTTGCACGGTAGAGAAAGAGAGAGAGAGTTTTCGCGCTCGCGCGCGCGGTCGACAAGTAAAAATGGGGAACACGATTCTCCGCCGGTATTATACATCGCGCTGAAGATTATTTCCACGCGAATCCTGTAATCTCGCGCCACTGTAAAGCAAATGAAAACCGCTCGGTCGCGATAGAATTTTAGTTTGTGGGCGGGAATTAAGCTGATGCAAAAATCATGTTGCGCGACGCGTCGCGTGCGCGTATCTCATTCCGTTCTATTCGGGTCCGATTCAATCTGTCATCGGAACAAAAATTGACCATCTTTTGTGATCGCCTATCGCAGTCGATTGCCGCTGCCCGCAGCGCGCGCTCGCGCGTTCGCGAGCCACTCTATCTAAAATCACGCGATCGTAAATCAGTCGGAGAACTGCGCAATGCCAATTTATCTATTGTGTACGTCCGTATTGCAGTGCCTTGCCGAAACATTCATTCACTCGACGACTAATATAAATACCATTGTGTATTATGAATTTGTGTGCTCTCGCCGTTGTGTTTCCGTAGACGAGCCGGTGAATGGATTGGCTCAGATACGATTTGAAAGAATATTTCTCTGTATCGATTAAATACGAAAGAAATTCGATTTATTTCTCAACAGGAGGAGACAAGCGACGAGAATAAAATTAATATTACATACTTTTTCGTACATCAAAATTTAAACAGGTATTCAAGGCATTCTTTTAGTTAAGCAAAAGCGCGCAATACTTTTCCATAATGCGAAATATTAACCGAATTATTCGAAATTAAAAAGATTTATATTTAAATATGCATATACAGAAGTTTCATTTATTTTGTTTTCTAAAGATTCAAAGCATCTTGATGCTTTATAAGGAAGTTATCTTTTTAATTTTAAAATAATTTTTGCCTACAAGCTCCTTTTTATTTTTCTTGCAATTTAATATCGTATTTATAATCAGTCGGAAGGGAGCTTACGTTTTTGCTTTGTTGAGAACCGTAACATTTCTTCAACCGTCCATAATCACATTGTGGAACTTTGCGAACTGTCAAATCCGGCGGGACGATATATCCCTTTGAGGAGAAGTTACGAGAGCGATTCATAAGAACAAGGCGGAAGTCGGCCCGAAAAATTCTCATTTCTACATCGTCGCGCAATTGCGGTTGATCGACGAGCGGCCGTTAAATATTGACGAGGTAGACGGTAGATGCAAAAAATAGTGGTTTCCGCGGGAAACGGAAACGGGGTGGATACAAATGAGGCTGCGAGGATGAGCGGCGTTATCTCGCATCCTGCGGGAGCTATTCGTCCCGGGGCCGCCCCTTTCTCCATCCTGTGCCACCGACCCCGCTATCGCCACCACCCCTCTGGCGCTCTCTCGTAACCCCCTTGCATCCGCTCCTGATAAGAGAAGCGCGAAACCCCCGAAGCGAACCCCCGATTCTTCGACAGTTACGCGCCGATTATAATTGTCGCGATCCTTCCAACGTTGACCGTCTGCCCGCGCGAATAGCGCGACGAGAAGGAAAGCGAGAAACACGAGCGGCTCTTCGCGGCGAGCATACAGCGAGTGAATAAGTAACTTTTTAATATGTCACGCAAGAGTAAGTGCAAACTAGAATCTCGCGTTAATTCGTTCTTATTGCGAGGAGGCAAAGTGGCAGCGCCGTTCGTTTTATTATTCTTAATAAAAACGGCCAGCGCCAGATTAAATTTTCTTTGCGTTCGCGGGGCGGAGCTCCCTAGGTTATGAAATCCTCATGAGAGAATAGGGATGAAAGATGCGACGAAAATAATCGTCGCTTTTGAGAAAGTGACAATGAACTAATTACGCTCAAAGAAGCTCTTTTATTAAGTTGTCCTCTGGTCGTTCATGATTCCTCTTCCAACACTTTTTCGCAGCGCTGTCGATGAGAACTTCATGAATAATAGAAACGCTGTTTTTAATGTGCATTATTACTTCTATTGTTGTATGAAAATAATTTAGTTTACGATACTTTGTGTTACTATTTTAAAGGGACAGTTTTATATTATTGTTTCGAATATACGAATGAAATTTTCGATAGTTGCTTTATTTTTGATCGGATTACAAATTTTTTATTGTTAAAAATTTTGGGATTACAGCTTTTTGGATTACAGCGACATGCGAGGGTAGATAGAAACAAGTAGATATTGGAATAGTTCTAAGTAGAGCGAGAACATGGCGCGAGATTACAGGATTGCGGCATGTCTGACCATACGTCGGCTTTACCACTGCGGAGGTGAGCAACTGGCGGTTCTCTCGTCAGGAAGGGGAAGTGAAAAATCCCCAGATTCCCTCAGGAATTGTCGAGGTATCCTTATAAAACTGGCAGATTAGAGTGAGACGTGACGAGAGCGTGGAATCCGCTCTGAGTATTAAGCATCCCAACGATGCGCGAACAGAGTGCATTACGCAGTTGTATTTGAAGATAGACAGATAAGATCTGACTAGATATATATTATGCAGACATGGTTCTACTTAATTTTTAATGTATTTTACAAAAATTTTATTTTATAATGCAGCAGTCCAAAATCTCGCATATTAGAAGAGATGTTAATAGAATTTAATTTTTTGAAGCCCGAGACTCTACAAATATACTAAAAGCATAAACATAATAATATTTTAATACAAAAAGAACGTTGGTGAATTGCATTTATGAGCTTAGTGTATCTTCTATTTCTAAGCTGTTACACAAAGATTGTTCATGCGTATTAAATAATTAATTGGCAATGATATGAGGATTATAGTAATAATGGCAAATGCTTAATAATTACAATTTGATGAACATTAAACTTTAATGATTAGAAACGTTGATATAATGAGCCCTAACTAAATAATGGAGTAATATTGGAAGACAAAATTATAATTAAAACAATGGCGTGTATAACGAGTTGAAACTGTCGATTGACAAAACAGTGGATTAACAAAAAGTTTAAGAATCTTGTGTGTGACTTTATGCAACTAAATTTTTTCCGGAAAAGAATACGATTGATCGCTTTAGATTTGAAGCGAACTAGAGGAAAAAGGGAGACGAATAGTGGGTATTGTAAAGGTTAAAAACAAATCACTCGCTCGACGTTACAATCGACGGACTGCGTTCATCAGTATAAATTGTCCAATTTTCTGTTCCAATTCACCGTTCCTTATCTTTAAAGAGAAGTATCAGGGGCTTAAACTGAATACAAAATTGAAAAGTTTATTTCAGCGTAGATTTGTTTGGAATAATAGATAATTATAAAAATTATAAAACTGTCCAATGATTTAAATAATGTGAATTTTATTTTGCATTCAATTACACACGACTGGCACCATTATCTAGTGAAATTTGTTATACATATTTGATATATTATTATTGTTGTTATATAAACAGAGATATTCGATACTCTATATACATTATTACCATATAAAATATTAAACGCCCCGTTGTTATTCTTCGCACTAATAAAATATAGTTTAGTGTATGTTCCTGTTAACATTTTAATGTAAACGCCGTTTGTATCTGTCGCATGCAATTAAAATTGCTGCTTAGATCGCAACATACGTGAATTCATGCACGTCCACAACAATTTGTCCGCTGTCCTTATCGTCCGATATCATTATTCATCGCTTGACTAAATACATTCCGTACTTAACATAGTGATAAATCACCGGTCGCGTGGGCGAATCGTAACGGCGAGCGCGAAGGGAAGAAGGAGCGTCCCTGAGAAAAAAGCTGCTGAATATTCGCGTTGAGGTACTTCGCCTCGGGGAGGGAACAGAATCCCCCAAGGAGAATAGTGCAGTGGATCGTCAGTGAGTAAGACACGCGAAAAGGCGGGGATGTACAAATGGCTGCGAAATCCCCGCGCTGTCGCCGCGAAAGCCGTGAGTCCATTAGCGCTGAAATTAACTTCACTGAAACTCACCCTTTCTCTCGCCAAAGAAGTCCGCGCGGCCGCACGTCGCGCAGAGCGCGACGAAGATCACCAGTGACGATCTGAAAACAATTTTTTATCTTTATTTCTCACGTTATTAATTACAGCTGCTTATAGCTAAATTTCCAATGTAAATTGGTCAATGTATAGCACGAGATGCAACATGTTGCGAGAGAAAAAATTATCATACGTTTATCGAGCTTCAAGAAATTAATTATTAGATAAAAAATAATTTTACATAAAATTATTACATAAGAAAAAGTAAAAATATAATATGTTATGATAACATGATACAAAGTGTGAAATGAAATTTAATGAGTAACAAATTTAATGAAAATTATATTTCAATTAAAGCTTGATATAAAAAAGCTGTAAATTCTAAAAATAAAAATATCAAGAAACGCTAATTTCTTTAATAACATTTAAATATTTTTAGAATTTTATATGATATTTCTATTTAATTGATTAAAATTGCGATAAAACGTAATTTATGCCAGATATCGTTTGATATGAATTGAGAAAAGAAACCATGCATCGCTTCGCGACAAGGTACACGTCGCGAGAAAATGTCACGCGATTACTGAACATAGGCCAGGCATTTCGAGCGAATTGTTTTGTTATTTTAGCATTATCTCTGAAGACACGGGTAGCAACTAATACTAATTAAATAAGAATGGAAAGCGGAATGTCGAGAACGGCTGGAGTGAGGACGATTAAAACAAAAACGATGAGGATAATCTACTAAGGAATATAAGGCTGGTACTAGAAACGCTACGTGATCCCGTGGAAGACAGGCAATAAAATTAGCGCTAGAGCGATTCGAAATAACAGCATTGTTCCTAAGAGAGAACAATAAAGACACACCCGCTATACTATAATCAGGTTAGGCGATATCCTGAATCGTCCAAGAAAAGTGAGGGCTTTTCGTATTACGCCAAGCCCTTAGCTTGACACTCTTGCGCTTTTATAAGGGGCGATTTTCTAACACGAAACACAATCACGACCTCGTCGTGGTGAGCTAGTCTTGCCGAAGACGCGATAACACACAACCTTTAATTTTAATATAACTTTACTCGCTCGCGCGCATTGTCCTTAATTTAACTTGAACTTTTAGCTGTCTTATTTATATTTAAAACTTTTAATGGACTTTGTTCGATGAAATTTTATTATCTCTTTGCGGTTACATAAATCCAAACCCACATTTTTACGGCCGCTAATACATCCGTTTTAAGAAGAACTAAAAATATTTTTGCAAAAGTTTGCAAGAAATCTGTACCAGTTACTCTCTACTATTATTACACGGCATCAAATGGCATGTGTTCATTCAACCATTTTTATAATTCAGTACACCTCGCGAATACCTTCGCGTGGCTCGTAGAAACAAATCGTGACTCGCTTGTCGGCGATAAATCTCAGTCTTTCTCTTTCTCTCTCTCTCGCCGGTCGCGTATTATTTCCCGACTAGACTAAGGTCAGTGGAACACGGGGAACTCGGTAAGTGTGACACGCATTTGCATGGCGACTTGCACAACAGCCGGCGCACACGTGGGCGTAGCCACTACGTTGATTGTGATTCACGATCGAGAATTCCGGCCTTGCGCAACGATCGCAATCGCGAGGACGGCCGTGCCCGTCGATTTCGATTTCCATTTAACAAGACCGTCAACCCCGCCTCTTCTTCCTTTTGCATTCAACAGGCAAATGTTGACGAACGTTTGAATTATCGACATAGCCGAACTAACCAATAAACCCGCATTTCGCATAATGTGAACATTGTTCAGAATATTGAAAAATTGTAGGTATTAGTTGTTGCTGATATCTTGATATGTAAAAACAACATGTAAATATTGATCAATTCCGAATTATACATTACGCATAAAATTAAAATATTTATTTTTTAGTAATACATTAATTAATTATACGAAGAAAATAATAAATTTAGAAAAATAATTTTATGAAATATTATTTTTAAGTTAAACATCGATCTACATTATTGAGAATTCAAAAGCAATGCAACTTATGACATTTTTCTGACATTTCTATTAATTAATTTTAATATTTAGTTTGTGAAATTACATGTTAATTTTACATGAAAAATGTAAAGTTGTACCACAATTCAATTAATACAAAAATATTAATTTCTTAAATACCGCTATCGAGGAATAAGCGATGCAATAATGCTCTCAGAAACCAAGTCGTTTGGCGAAACATATCACGATTATCCAGAGATTTCGATTGCTTTTCGTAAGATCATTAAACATTTTTAAAGCTTCATACAAATTTCATGAGAGCCCACTGCTTTCACAGAAGTTTAAGAGGTTACGCCGAGTTTCGTTGAAGTTTATGACATTTTATAAGGTCTCATGAAATTCCCGAGGTTTCGTACGACGCAAAGATTTTATGGAGCGAAAGAAACTTTTTACCGTCCGTAAATATTGCATGTCTTCGCTAAGCTTTGCTCCGATAAATCGCACAATTAAATACTAAAAACTCCAAGATTATTGGACAATAAATTATAAAACAATTTTATACAAAAATATATTTTAATAGAGGTCCGATAATTACAATACTTATTTTGCGTATTATAAAGCACATATTAAAGTTATGATGATATATAATAATTATAATTACGCAATTTACGCTGACATGAATGATTCTGATTCGCGTAAATTTACGTTGCACCGCGCTTTATTTCCTTCGATAAGAGACTATCGGTACTTGTGCATGACATCACTGGGAGTACCGCAAGAAGGAGGAGCTTCTTGTAGGAAAAAGTGGAATAAATCTCAATGTGGACGGAAAGTGGTCGTAAAAGAAAAGGCAGAGTAGAACTGCCGGCGATAGCGCCGTGATGATAATCGATCGCTATAATGTATGATGTAATATACTTATTTATAAACGCATGAATTCTTCATTCTGTTATCTCGTGATTTGGCAATTTCGAAAAAAAAATAAATAATGATATGGAATTTTTATACACTTTGCATATGTGCGAAGTCTGGCTTTAATTTAATGTACTCAATTTAATACTTATTTATAATAGTTATAAAAAGATTTTTACTTCAAAAATTAATTTTGTTTAGCGTGATAATTTTAGCACAAAATAAACTCATTATCATTGCACATATATTAAATATATATACACACGGAAAAAAAAGATATTCTTATTTTTAAAATATCTTTATTTTTAACATGAAAATCTTTAAATGAGATTATATTGCTTTAAACGAAGAAAACTGGCTTGAGTGAAGTCATTTTATATAGTTCAACCAAGAAAAAAATATTCTTATTATTTAAGAATAATTTTCTTGAATGGAAAAGACAAAATGTTGGATAGAAAATAACATATTTTTCAAATAAAAGATTATAATTTTCTTAGAGTAAAATTAAATATTGTATTCTTCAAGTGATCATTATAAAATGGAGATATATATATATATAAGACTATAGTATTGTTAAAATTTAAGATTATTAAATTCTCATCGGAAGATTATAAATTGTTGCGTATATACGAAACAATGAACGCGTTAATTTGAGTATATAAGCTTTGATTTGACACTACTTCTTTTTCGTGCATATAAAATAAAATCTAAATTGTTCTGCAATATTCTTAACAATGCAGGAAAGAGAGAGAGAGAGAGAGAGAGAGAGAGAGAGAGAGAGAGAGAGAGAAAACGCTTATACACGTAACTTTCGCAACTTGTGCTACTCGTTGGAGCGTTTATAGAAGCCATTGCAGCACCATAAGTAAACCTCTTCGTAACAACGAGACGATTCACGAAATGAGAATGTGAAGGTCCTATCGTTGACGATAATGACGACGAATGACGACACTCTATTAACTCAATGGTCCGAGTAGTATGAAAGGGAATTAAAAGAACGGGCTTTGGTCCAATGAAAGCTCGGAACACGTGTACCGAGTGGCGGTAGAATAATTAAGCGAGAAGACGACGACAACGACGACAACGACGACGGCGTCGAGGAGTTCGTTAATGAAGCGATGTGCCGAGGACTCTTGCAAGTCGACGAAATTCTCGGAGGAAACTCTGGAAAGAACGAATGATTTCATTGCGACATATACGAAAGAGAGGAACGGCTGCTAATGAGGGCCTTAGGGGGGCGCCTGCTTGTGATGAATGCATTGATTTGAAATAAAAAGCCGAACTTCAAAATTTTCATTGAAAGAGCTTTTTTTGTTATAATTTGTTTTCTGTTACATATAATTAGAATTTAGTATTAAATTTTTTTGCATAATGGAAGACTAGATTGTTTAATTTTACTGAAAACTGAAATATGTATATAATTCTAAAAACTTATTTTTATATTATATTTCATGAACCTGTATTAATAACGCGGAAAAAATTTCGAAGTGCTGCATTTCGTCTAAGATAAATATAGGAAAATATTAAAGTAATTAAAGTATGGGAAAATAATTTTCGCCAAATAACTTTATTTTCAATGATAGAAGGAATAAATTGGCTTATAACCGATTTATAAACTGTTACGGATTTCTATACGAGATATACTCAAGTCGAAAAAATATATGCTGCATATAGCAATCTTGAGAAATAATTTTAAAAGCATCCAGAATAAGCTCATAAACTGACAGCATATCAAAAATATTCGTAAAGAAGAAACGGATCTTAATCTCGTTTATAACTTCGCACGTCCGTTACGTCAACATAATTTACGATGAAAAATTGCATGGCACAGAAAAGAAAGCGTCGTATACTAAAATCTGTGTCGATCATTAATTTTCTCAGAAACCACTATGACGCGTGAATACCACATATAAACTTCATTTGTGAATGGATTTATATTTTATCACCGCATATGTTTCATACGCATATGCATATAATACATATAATGATAAGGAACGTGAAAAGATTACGAGGCGTGGAAAATTGTAAATGTAAAATAGTTTTAAAACTTGCGCAATATGTTGTTACATTATGCTATTATAATAACATGCAACACACAGGTACGTATATTATAGCTAATAATTTCGAGGGAGTAATTTCGCGAATGCGCGTACAAAGGCCCATAAGCTCTGATGCTGCTT